TTAATTATTGACTGAACAAATTAATCAATAAATAATAGAGCTCATGAGGATATTCATCACATCAGAAAGTATAATGAAAGATTTAGAGGGGAAGTTGCATCTGACATCTCTAATGGTGCCAAGGTATTTGTAGAGTGGGTAGGAGCAGAGGGACTTATTTTGGGTTAAAAAAGAAAAAAAAGTATTTGATTTACTTGCAGGGCTGCCCAGTGGAGAGAAGGCCTGACCAAAGACTGACATTATTTTGCTACCATCAGATGCAACACACAACCTAGCATAATAATTAAGAGCCTCAAAGAATTAAAGACTGGACATAGTTTAGAAACAAGTGCTAGTGAATATGGTTTAGATTGTAAGTGCAATATAAGCATATTAGTGAATTAATGAGGGTCAGAGAGTCAAAATAGAAGACTGGAAGATGACACTGAATTTATTCATTTAAAAATGTTTATTGAACACATGGAAAATGTGACTCCAAGCTGAGTGCTGAGAACACAGTCCCTGGTCTCTGCTTTCTGACAGTCTAAACAAGGAGATACACATGACATCAAATTGAGTACCTTTGAATTGCAGGCTATGTATAAACTTTCATTTAACTGAAGAAAAAAATATATAGACATAAACATAATAATTAGTGTAATGATCGAAAAATAAGCCGATGAAAGTACTGTCCAATGGCATGTTCCCAAAAGGCCCATTGATAATGTAATGTTTGAATAAAGGGTGAAACAGTGAGAAATTGAGCTAGCTGGGTGTTTGGGGGAAGAACATTACAGACCATGGAAGGAAGTGTAAAAGGCAGGCTTGTTCTTGGGCCATAGAGAAATAACAACTGTGTCTGGAGTGGAATAAGTAAAAGGGAGTGTGGAAGATGAGAACTGGGAAGTAGCAAGGCTCGGTCATGAGTGGCCTTGAAGGCTATCAGTAGGACGTTAGAATTTACGTGATATGAATGGAGAAAAGCCATGCAGAGTGACTTGATGGAGCAGGTACAGAGCATCAAGCAATTCTAAGTTTATGGGTTTGGTTAGATAAAAATGGAGTCAGTTCTTGAGGGCCCAATTCAACATGTTGGAAAAAGAGGAACCAGAAAGACTATTTCAGTAGATTCAGTGCAAGATGATGAGTAGGCAGACTGTGATAATGGCAAGAAGCACATAAAGATAAAAAAATTTCAAAGAAAGCAAAGGGTTCTTGGTGTGGGATGAGTGTAATTGTGATGTAGCTCAAGAGCTACTGACTTTACTTACAAGCAGATGTTTTGTCAGAAGCAAATGAGGCCAAAGGAACTGCTTCTAAAATAGAACAAGAAAGTTTCAGAACAAATCTATTTTTAATTGAAACCTCTTTGTGCTTGTTTGAAATAGAAAAAATTTGAATAATTTTAGCCATACTGAAAAGTAAACAGTTGATCCTGTTTATCAGATGACAATTCAACATTCGTGGGCAGACAGAAGCCGCCCCCCATCTCGTGAACCTAGCAATCCACTTCTGCATATCAGCAAATTTTATCAGGAAAGCTTGTCTCGTTTTGGGTGTAAATCAATAATCAAATTTATTTGCTTTTAAATCTACTGAGATAGGATCAAACTCGTTCTGAGGTGGCTGACCATAACTTGATAGCACTGTGTCTTTAACCCCTGTGCCACCAGGGAGGCCTCACTAACCATATTTATTGAAACAGTCTTTGTATAGTTCTCTTTACTGAAACACTTTCATGTTACATTTTGTTGTTGTTTTTTAAAGATTTACTTATTTATGCATAAGAATTGGGGTACAGCCCAGAGATGCCGGGGAGTAGGGAGCAGAACAGATCAACGAAGTACACTGCCGAGGGGAGCAGCTGGTGGGTCAGGAGAGGTCTGCCGTACCATGTAGATCACTTCCGGGGCCAGCGATAGAGCTCACACTGAAGGCTGCATCTAGCTTGCAATGCTGTGTTCTAATCCATTGCGCCACCAGGGAGGGCCTGTTTTTCTTTTTTTAAGATTTATTTTTATTTATGCACACAAGAACTGAGGTGAGGTCAGAGGTGTGGGGAAATGAGAGAATTCGCCAGAGACAGAGTGGGGAGCAGAACACGCAGATCCACTGAAATACATTGCTGAGGGGAGTAACGGGAAGGTGAAACAGAAGAGGTCTGCTGTGCCATGTGGGTCAGCAACCTGGCCAGACATCGAACTTGTGCTGCAGTGGCTGTCAATAGCTTCATAGTGCTGAGACTTACCTTCCTGTGACACCAGGGAGGCCCAATATTAGTACTCTTAACTAGTAACATCTGTAATCATTTTTCCTTGATATTTATGTGGCTATACTTTAAGAACTCAGGCAAGGGTTTGCCAGTGTGTGAATAATACTTCACATGAAAATTAACATTCTTAAATATATTGTCTCATTTTAATTAAATTACCTTCCTTTTTTTTTTTTTTTTAAACTTTCTACTATCTCCTGATGGTGGGCAGAAGACAAATCCTGCTTTTCCACCTCAGTGTTTTAAAGCTGACTATACCAAAATATTAAAAAAGATTGACAACTATAGTTTTGGGGAAAATAATAGCAATGGATTCACTTTGGGGTGGAACAAATTTTAGAAAAGGTGTTTACTTATTAGCAAATTATTTATGTTTACTTAACCTGATTTGATCAGTGTGATTATTTATTTTTTGAAATGCCTGACTCCATTAGTTTTTTCTTTGCACACATATTGCTTAAACAGAACAAAGTCCAAAGAAAGCTTGATTTAGCCAAGTTAAACTCCAATGCCAAGTTCAACAAACCACAATCATGAAGAAGTTGCATTAAAAAAAGAATTAAACTAATGAAAGTTTGAGAACAGGTCTAAGCATCTGTTCCTTTGAAGAGTGGCCGTGACATTCTGTTTGACTTCAGGATAGTTTAGTTCTAAGATTGATTTCTTCTTAAAACTTTGAAAGGTCTGTTTTAAAAATTTTATTATAGGAGCTGCAAGCTGAAAACAGTTTGACTGAAAATACCTTCACCTTAAGAAGCCTTTGTTCTTTCATTTTATACAAAGTTCTTGAATCCACATATAATTTTTCTGTAAGATTCTGAAATTAACGATAAAAACAGGATTAGGAAAAAACTCTTAGTGTAAGGTTCAGGCACCAGCCATATAGACACACGGAAGGAACAGTTGCCCCAAGCAGAAGCAGATATTTGGGAGCGATAACCTTAAGACTTGTCACCAAGGGTTAACACAAGCCCAGGCAGAAAAATAAGTTCCAGTTCCTTATCAAAATTTTCCACCTGGCCATTTCTCCCCCCTACCTAGGCCTATAAAAACCCCTCCTACCCTTCCCACCATGCGACTTCTGTGACCTCAACTCTCTCTGGGATCAGTGAACCTCGCCGGGGAGCACAGAAATAAATCTACTTTTGGTTTCATTGGTCTTGCTATCTCTTTGTGTCCTCCTTACTGTATCAAACCTATCGCTTAGTTATCGGAATTCTTTTTTTTTTTTTTAAAGATCCATTTATTTATGCATACAAGAACTGGGGTACAGACCAGAAATGCGAGGATGGGGTGTGTGTGTGAGAGGATTCACCAGCGACAGAGTGGGGAGCAGTGAGGACTGCCTGAAATACACTGCTGAGGGGAGCAGTGGCCAGACAGGAGAGGTCGTCTGTGCCATGTGAGTCACCTTTCTGGTGCAGGGATCAAACTCTGCTGCAGTGGCTGCTGATAACTTCATAGTGCTGTGCTTTAAACCCTTGTGCCACCAGGGAGGGCCCCTATCTGAATTCTTTTTTTTTTTTTCCTATCTGAATTCTTATCATTTGTTTTTCTGGCCCAACGTGGTTTACTATTCTTTGTGTTTATTTAATACAACATTTCATAGCAGGCATTTGACATTAAACTAGTTAAGTGAGATGTATTTCACCCTTCACGGTTGGGAAACCCTAAGAATTACATTTCAATCTACAGTACAGGTTTGAGATTGAAAGAAGAGCTTTAGCATCAGCCCAGAGCAGGGAACACTTCAGTAGTATGGAAGTAGCTATGATGATTACTGACATTGTTAATAAACTATGTTGCCTAAACACTTTACTTTCATTAAAGTGACTATTCTGCACTAATCATTCTAGTTTCTCTTTGGCCTAAAAAAAAAAAATCTACTTACAAAAAAGTCTAAAGTCAAAAATTGCCCAGTAAGAAAATTTGAATGTACGACCATAGTGTAAACTCTTAAAGAGGAAATAAAACTGCCATTTAAATGCTCTGTCAGTATGTGGTTAAGGGAACTTGAGCGTGACTATGCCATGAATCAGCGAGTTTCAAAATTAAAGCTCCTCCTGAATCTTCCTCCTCGACTAGATTTACTTTAAACACACCTACAGTAGTAACCACCGCTTTAAAAACATTCCCTCACAATTTGCAGCTGGAATATGATGACGAAACGTGAAACGAAATACTATGATGAACATTAATCAGTTCAGCTGCCAGAAGCACTGGCCCTACAAGGGTCGATGACGCCCGTCTCAGGTCGTTGTCGCGGGAATCCCAGAGAAACTGTCGGCACCGCCTCACGAAACCGGCTCCCGAGGCCGACAGCCCTCCCAGCACCACAGGCCGCATGACGTTCTCGACGGCGGGGGTTTCCGCAGCGGTGACATACGCCACTTCCTGCCGGCCGTGAGAGTCAGTGACGTGGCAGGCGAGGCGGGGCACGGTCCTACGGGAGGGTCGGGACACCCGGAGCTGTCAGGTGGCCTCGGGGCAGCCCGGCCGAGAGAGGAGGCGCCGCGACAACAAGTGCTGCGGCGACCCGGGAGTCGGAAGTGCCACGTGTCCCGACTGCGCCTGCGCGGCCGGCGTCTGACAGACACTTCCGGCCTGGGCCTGCCTCCTTCTGGTTTGGCTAGGCTGCCGCCTCACTGTCCGGTGTCCCCGCTCCCACCAGCCGGATACCCAAGCCTCATCTGCCAGGCCTGGCCGTAGTCGCCGGCGGGCTGGAGAGAATGCGGCGCCGTGCCTAGGGCTTGACGCGCCGCGCCTTTGCCTCCTAAGTCGCCAGCTCCCCCCTCCGCTTCCAGTAGTCTTTCAGTTTTCCCCCTGGCGCTGTCGCAGACCCCGACCAACCCCTTCCCAACCTCGATAGCCACTGTCGTCATGTCCCAGCCGGGGATACCGGCCACCGGCGGCGCCCCAGCCAACTTCCAGGCCCAGAACGGGGCCGCCTCAGCCTCGGGGTCTCTCTACACCAACGGTAAGTGCCGCTTCTGGGAGGTCGGGAGGGCGCGACTAGGGCACAGGCTCGAGTTGACCTTTGGTTGCGGCGGCCAACGAAGCGACCGAGGAGAGGATGACCTCCCCTCCGGGGTCCGGAGAAGGTGCTGGTGGTGGAGGCTGGGCCCTGGAGACCGCGGTGGACAGCACTCGCCACCCAGGATTCGTCTTAGTGTCTCAAATTTGTGTATTCGTCTACTTAGTAAACAGTTAATGGGCATTTGCTATACGCAACGCCCGGCTATACATGGGTGAGGAATACTGATTTGATGCAGAACTCGAAAACTGGATACAAAGCTCACAGTGCCAGTGTGGTGTGAGGTTCCATCTGCACCACCCCCTGCCTTTTAGCGAGAGCTGAGTTTGGGGTCTGGATTGGGGGTCGAACTCAGTCTGAATTTACCCAGATGAATGAGAGACCGGGCTTTGGAGCCCTTTAGGGTCTGTTCATCTCGGAGAACCTCCCTGGAATTGCACTTAAGGCACCTGTTCAGTTTTCAGCTTTGAAAGAACCAGATTGAGGAATGGAGCTGCTGTTTGATTTCTAGAGGAAAGAGCTGGACAAAACTCTGAACCTCTGGTGAGAATGCGTATGTGGCACACGCTGTTGAGAGAAAAAGTCTTGTAATTTACAACTCTTCTCACATTTTGTAAATTGCCCTACATTGTGATTTCCAAGCTTATATTGTTATATAAAGATTTTCTGCTAACAGTTTGCCAGGTTACCAATTTACCTAGAAATCTTTGGTTTAAGGAACAATGCTAGTAGAATTAACACCGAAATACTTAAATTTTGGACTTTGGAGTCTAAGGTTGCTTAGGAAAATAAGGAAAGATTGGTCAGGAAAATAAGCAGTGACTAAAATTACTAATTTGTATTATTTTAGAGAACATTACTATTGTCTTTACAAAGAAGGCTCTAAAAGACTTTTAAAAATGTCTGAGTAGGAAGAAACAAGAATAAGTGTGGGTAAGCAGTGAACTGGTGTTAAGTTGAATCCATTGTGCTCCTTCATTTGTATGGTAGCAGATAATGTAAACTACATCTTCTCTTAGGATATTTAGTAACATTTACAATGAGGATGAAATAATTCTAATACATTCAGTTTAAGGTAAAAAGACATGTCATATGGCTATGTTATTTTTTCTAATTTATAAATTGCTATTTTTCTTTTAAGCTTATCTTTAAGTATATTAAGTTCTGATAATTACGAAATGTTAAGGGAATTTAGCCATTGTGATTTGCTCTATTGGAGAAGCTACTGTGTTGTTTTGATCCAGTCCAAGAGACAATTACTATGTAACATTTAACTTTTTCCCTTAGAAATATAAATAAAAATAAGAAGTCCTGTACACTGGTTGTCCAGAGCCAATTGGAAATTCAGATAGGGAAGGAAATCATAGGATTGCAAATATACACCTTTTTAAGATTTAATTTTGACAGTTTTTTCCTAAGCCTCATATATAGTTTTTTTTGTAGACATAGTCTCAGTAAAATGGCTAATGTCCTATATTGGGTTTTTAGTGTTCTTCCCACTAATAATAAAGAGAGTAATATAGGTGGGTAATAGAAGGAGAGGTGTTTCTTTAAAAGGTGAAAAAAAGTTCAATTCTGAAATCTGTTTTTTGTGACTAACTCTTTCAAGACAGTTATTACTGTCTAAATATTCTGTTGAAAACCCTTGAACTTCAGGCTTGTGTGAAGCACATTACAGTTCAGTTAGATTTTCAGATTTTTAAAAAAAGATTTATTTATTTATGCATACAAGAACTGGGGTATAGGACAGAGGTTCAGGGGGATTGGTGAGAGGATTCGTCAGAGACAGTGGGGAGCAGAACAGGCAGATACACTGAAATACACTGCTGAGGGGAAGCAGTGGACCGGAGGAGTCTGCTGAGCCATATAGGTCAGCTCCCTGGTTGGGGATTGAACTCTTGCTGCAGTGGCTGTGGATAGCTTCAAAGACCTACTAGTTACTTTTTTCATTTTTACATAATTTGCTTTCATATTGTGTAGTGTCACTATATAATAGAATTCTTCATAAATTAATAATGATTCTGTACCACTAAAACTGGCAGATAATTTGATTATCATGTGATAAGGATATGGTTAAGTTAACTGTTCTGTTAATTCAGTTTACCAAATCAATTAGAAATTGTAATATTTATGTAAATTTCATCTCTAAAATATAGATTAAGTATGTGAAGGATAATCCCACCATCTCTCTTACCAAATTCTCCTTTTATACTGTAATGTTGTAATTATGAAGAACTGTCTTTGGAAAATATTACGTATTACATGATATTTCGAGAAAGGAAAAGAGCCCCCACATAATTTTTGTTATTAGTGAATTGCTATATTTTTAATTATTGTTAATCTCTTATTGTACCTAATGTATAAGTTACTTTATCGGAGACATGTATGTAGACAAAAAGCCCAGTTTATATAGGATTTTGTGCTATTTGCACTTTTAGTCATTCATTGATGGTGTCTTAGAACAAATCCCTGATGAATAAGTGGACACCACTTTGTTATCTGTCTCCTCTCTAGACTTTAAATCCTGTGAAGCTAAGAATATTTACTTTTGCACATCATTCTGTTTCGAGCTCCTCACTTGGCATTTAGCACATCTTAAAAGTAGTCAGCTTTACTCAATGAAAGTTTTAGGAGTGGGTATTTTGCAATTTAGATCATTAAGCATGTTTCTGAGTGACCCATAGTAAGATTAGTGCTCACTTCAAACTTTTTTCCCGGTGGATTTTTCTCAAATTATTATCAAACACAGTAGACTATGTAACGTATATGTGGTCATCGATTTACATCTCTATTTTAGGCATTGCAGAAATATAAATCTCTTCTAGTTTCACTATGATGTAAACCATCGTTTATGATAGTGTATTTAGTATAGGAAGTCTTTAGTCATGATCAAAGCATACTGTAAATAAAAATGGCATGTGGTCTATAACACCAATTGTGGCTGAGTTCCTTTTAATGTTTTCAGTAGGGGCAGTAACTTTAGATTCCCTTAAGACTCCTAGCCTGCCTCTGAACTTCTTGTTTTTCTCTGCTGTAAGACAGGGAGCACCTGAAAGGCAGAAACAGTAATGAGAATCAACATTTATTTTTTACTTACTCTGTGACTGTGCTAGGCTGCATTATATGCATTATATGCATCATCTTTTCTAAGCCTCACAACAGCCCTATGAAATAAGAACTGTTAGGTTTATAAACCTGAGAAGGAGTCTGAGAGGAATAATTGGTTAAACAACTAGCTCAAGGTCATACAGCTATTCATTTGTGAAACCCAAAACCTAGGCAGCCTTACTTAACCACTGTTGTTCTACTTACTGGTTATTCAAAGTGACAGGACCTAGCACTTTGAAGTAGTGTATGAATCAAGAACCCTCTTCGGTTTCTTTATGTAGGTGGATTTGTATAATTACAATGAATATTGGTGATTTTTTGAGGTCATGCTTGCTACTTCATCATACCACTTTATAGATGTTTTGTGCCCTCACCCCTACTTTGATTTCTAGTTTTTGCTTATCTCTTTCCATTGCTTGCTTGCTTTCTTTTTAAAGATTTATTTATTTATGCATACAGAACTGGGGTACAGGCCAGAGGTGCAGGGTTGTGAGAGAGTTGGGAGCAGAACAGGCTGGCTGATCAGTGAAGTACACTGTTGAGGGGAGCAGCAGGAGAGACAGCAGCAGTGTGCTGCACCATGTGGATCACCTCCGGGGCTATTGATGGAGGGCACACTGAAGCGCACTGCCACTGTCTTGCAGTGCTGCGCTTTAACCCACTGGCCACCAGGGAGGGCCCTCCATTGCTTTCTTAAAACCCTTATTTTTAGTGATTAGCCCACAAGTTGTACTCTGGCAGTGGCATCCATTTGTTGTGTGCTACATCAAGATTTTCCCCCCAAATAATTACACTGTACTTATCTGTTGTATTTAAAAGCCTATAGACAGAAAGAACTTTTTGAGGTTTAAGGGACTATGTTGCTGTCTAAAATGTGATGTGTTTATGTAGGCTATCATTATTAATAGGATCACATTCAGAGAGTCTTGAATTAATTAAAATTGGTTCATCAGTTGTATTCATGTGTGATAGTAGGTGGAAAGTGTAAGCTGTCTCTGGCAAGTACTAACTCAAATTTACTGAATGTATTAATGAATTAGTTACTGAAGAATACAAAGAAAGATCTGAAATTTTTAACTTATGTGGAATTTTAGGATAAACCTTTCTGGGGAATATTTTTCCCCGCTTATTATTAAATTTATGTAAGGGAGTAGCTTATTCAGTAGATTTTTGTGTGTATCTAGTAGACTTTCTTGAAGAAACTTGTGAAGGAATAGATAGTTTACTTCATATGCATTGGGCAGTACAGCAGAAGTATCTTTATTTTTATGTGCTACGTTTTATGAATAATATACGTCAATCATTTCAACACATTAGTGATTTCTAAAGTTCATACAGTTCACTCAGAAATATATGAGAATCACCTGTAAGTGCAATTTACTAATCAGACTCAGAGACCCCACTGAGTCTTATAGAATACAGAATCTGACTTAGGCTTGTTACAGGATACCAAATCTGTTACAGGACAGGGAGAGAGGGACACCCCTGAAGCCCCAAATCTACCTGCTGTAAGTGGGTTCTGCCATCCATCCGCTGCAACAAGACAAAACATAACTTTAATGAAAAGGGACTTTAATACAGTGAGTATACAATACAGAAGACAAAGAATGTAATGTCTAAATCAAACACCTGAAGCTACCCATCCTCTCGTGGGCAAAAGTCTACCCAAAAGGGACTGGCTGAAAGCAAGGCCTGAAAGCTGGCCACAAGATAAAGCACCTTCTGGCCGGGACCCATGGAAAAGGGTCAGAAATGGCCAGACAAATCTGGGAGGAAAAGAGCAACATCAAAATCAATATAAACACTGCCATAGTCACCTCCCTACAGGTCTCTCA